AATGTAATTATTTCGTGCATGTGCCTGCTGTTACTATTTCCACAGCACATACAAATAATTCCCATTTTAAACTCACCAGAGTGATAAGTTGGGCGGAAATGCCGTCTAAAAGTGTCGTTAGATATGGCGATGCCAGGATTACACTTGGCACGACTGGAGTCAAAGACTGATTATATCTAGAGCGCTGGTGTCTTTATATAAGCCTGTATAAGTTATTATTGTAAAAGTTTCCAATATAACTTAAACAAACTCCAGTTTGCAAAGGAGTTGAAAAGAATATTTCATAAAATATTTTGTTAAGCACTGACACTGATCACCATTACACAGAGCCAGTAGTGTCAGAGAATGTTTTATTAAATATTTTCCTGTTCGTCGTTGAATGGATCAACTTGTTGATGCTGCCAGTTCTGATAAGGAAGTTTGTCCTGATTTAACAAAAACATGTTACAGTAGTACACTTTGAGCTGCCATGGACCTGGTAAGTCCACCCGTTCCTTCAGTGACCATCATAGTATAGTTGGGTGGTGGGGTAGCTAAATGGTTAAAGCGTTCGCTCGTCACGCGAAGACCAGGTTCGATTCCCCACATGGGCACAGTGTGTCAAGCCTCTTACTGGTGTCCCCCGCCGTGATATTGCTGGAATATTGCTACAAGTGGCGTAAAACTAATTTCACTCATAGTATAGTTCCACTGGAGATCGCTATACAGATCAATACATGAACGACTATTGTTTAGTCACTATAATCAGGTGCTCCCTCTCTATTAATACATTACATGACGGCAATGGTGCTGTCCAATGTTGAGCTGAGAATACAAAATATTTCTTTAGGGTCAAAGTGAGGAACAAATTCATCTGGACGTGGATACTTGCTGGTATTTGTGTTTCTGTGGACTGTAACTGGACGTGGACCCGATGCTCAAAGTAAGTCGATTTGATTGTTGTAGATTAACTTGCACATCAGTGCGTTACTGTTATACTTTGCAAGTTACAGCTTATTATGTTATATTGGTATCGCTGTGTTATATCATTTTAATGCAGCCTACTTACAAATATAACAAATCCTATATGTTTTTATTCGTAAGCATAATTTCAATATGAATAAAGTATCACACATGTAACAAGTAAACAGTTGCATTAAATGCGCTATGTTACATTGACACTTTGAAGGTGCCACGATCAGTATTAGCCAAGTCGGTGATGTCTGTGTTTACAGATTACACGCAGGATCCTTACATCGTGTCTCCGGAGAGAGTCCAGTATGGCAGTGATGTAAACCTGACATGCTATATTTTAATTGAAGTAAAGTTCTTAACGTTCATCTCCTTCACGTGGAAGAAAAACGATGAACGATTAATCCATGGAGGGAATTATGAGATCAGCTCAGGGTCCGGGTCATTTATAAACAGCATAAAAACATACCAAACCAATACTCTGACAGTTAAAGACACGAGGATGGCAGATGAAGGAAAGAGATACATGTGTCAGGTTGAAGTGGCAGTTGGAACATGGTCATCGTCCATTAAAACTGAGGAGTACATATTTGCACAAGAAGGTGAGACCGATATAAGGTATCATCATTATTGAACAAAAAGTCAAGAACCATAGTAAGGACAATTCCTGTGAAAACGTCCCATATAAACATTACATGCGATGACATCATAATGGAAGAATATTCATCTCTATTCACAATAAATAATGACATTAAAACATCTAATCCTTGAGATGCTTTTATGCAAAACTTGGCAATATTTTTGTTGTCTGTAAATTTCTAAACGGACACTTTCTCAATGTGACTATTTCAGTCCCATCTACTACCACCACAAGTGCAAGTGAAGGCGAGGATGTCACCATTTTCCTGACATGGACGGCGACGGATGTTATCACTGGGTTTTGGTCTCCAAGTGGTGGACTCATTGCAACCATACAATCTATATCTGTCTATATCTGGCCAAACTTTAGATCAAAAGTAAAGGTCATCAGACTGATCACTTCACATAACGGGAAAACAGTTAAGTTGATGATCTTCAATGTTACGAAGGAGGATGCTGGACGTTATTACTTCAGTGATTTCAAGCGAGAATCATTTTATGGTGGCCACAACCTTGTGATTGCTGGTAAGTCTCGAGTATATATTTGAATATGTAAAGCATTATCAATACGAGTACCGTTCTTTGTCCTACGGCATCTACACTTGACGTCCTACGATAACAAATTCTGGGTAATGTTACACATGTGCAATAGAAAATCGCTGTGAAGCAAACCAGTTTGGGCTCAAGATATGTTCAACGGTATTACAGGAGAAACTATATTGGATGCAGTTGATCAGTTTTACCAGGAAGATGTTTTGAAATACAAAACACACGACTCTCTCCTTGGCAGCGTAACTAAGACTGACTGACTGAGTTTGGTTTTAGGCCGCTTTTAGCAATATTCCAGCAACATCACGGCGGGGAACACCAGAAATGGGCTTCACACATTGTACCCATGTGAGCATTCGAACCCGGGTCATCGGCCTGACGAGCCAACGCTTTAACCATTAGGCTACCCCACCGTCCCTGCTAACTAAGAGGTTATTAGGATTAATAAATAGTGGCTTGCATCCTTCAAAACAAGTAAAAAGTAAAAATATCGTCATATGTGTATACGTGGGAAAAGGTATGTGGCCACTGCTAAAGAACCTTTATGTTTTTCATTTGTCAAACAAATTATCAAACTAAACTACCATGTTTTAGATGCAGATTCAGAATGGGAGATCACATCACTAAAGTTGTCAGTATTCTAATAAAAATCCTTAGTTTATAAGGAGGAATAAAAACTTGACAGACTTGAATAGTTTAGAATGTATCCTTTTTCAGATTGTAAGAGTACACAGGTCTCAACTAGTATTGTACCTTCCACCATTGGTCAAACAAAACCTCAAACGGCGACTCCAGCTTCCATAACGTCAGCAAGTACTCAGGGTACGTTACGATCGAAACGCTCTCTCTTAACAAGATATTGCTGCGGGGCACCTTCATACCCCACTGTCCAAAGTTTCACAAATTAAACATGATACATCTCGACGAGATCTCAAACGGTTGCCCGGTATTTGAAAATAAAATATGTAGAGTTTGGAGGTTCGAATGCTGTCAATTTTAGAGCAAATATTAAAACTATATGTCTGGAGCAAACACTTTCTAATTCCTAAGATAACAATCCTTTCAGATTTTGCATTTTACCTGTGCTTATGATACACCCGTTAAGGTCCGGGTTAGAATGCACCTTCAGTAACCCATACTTGTCGTAAGAGGCGACTAACGGGATCGGGTGGTCAGGCTCGGTGGCTTGGTTGAAACATGTCATCGGTTCCCAATTGCGCATATCGATGCTAATGTTGTTGATCACTGGATTATTAACAGACCGCCGCCATATAGCTGAGTGCGGCGTAAAACTAAACGCACTGACTGACTCATTCACTTTGTTTGTGATCCAGATGGTGGATGGTATTACTATTTGCTTCCTGTTGTAGTAGATGTCACATCTAACACAGTGACTGTCACCAGCACACAAACCTCAGCTGCGACAACTACCGGGATACCCCTTTCTACAGCTACAACCGCCAACACTGACCAAAGTAATGCCATTCATTATTACAAAGTATTAAAATATTTTGAGAAAAAATCTCGATCCATTTTATTTCCTTTAAATAAATGTGTGTGTCCTCTTTAATATTTCGAGTGTGTTTTTTTCATAAACATTTTGTAACAGTTCAAGGTCGAAGAACAAACATGATTTTTCTTAAACCAGTATCTCCTGCGACATTAAACTCTATTGGACCAAAGGATTCACAACACACAAGGAAAACATGGTTTCAATTTCTTACCGACTACCAGGAAATGCATAAGATTCGAAACTATAATATACATTGATATTTCAGATGTTACTACCGTTGTCCTTTACATCATCGTCGGGTGTTGTGTCCTGCTTATAGTGCTGGCTGCGTTCATCGTTGCTGCTATTGTGTTGATAAGGATCAAACAACAAGGTAACCTTATGTATTGCGTTCATAAAACCTGATTACTATTGAAGTGAGTGAGCGAGTGAGTGAGTGAGTGAGTGAGTGAGTGAGTGAGTGAGTGAGTGCTTTACGTCCTTTTGCATCCAGCGACCATGTGGATGGCCCTTTATACCCAGGACCACAAACAGGGCGAGTTTTTCTTTCTCTTACAGTCACAGGATTCTACATCTTCTTGGCGACAACATTTTTCAACTCAGATAACTTTAATCCCCATGATCCAGTACCTCCCATATCAAGATCCGCAATTAAGAGAAAATGACATTATCAATATATATAACTTTGAGCTGCCAAACTCGTTCTAAACGAACGAGTGATTGAGTTTAGGTTTTAGCGATATTCGAGCAATATCACGCCGGGGGACACCAAAAATGGGCTTCACACATTGTACCCATGTGGGGAATCGAACACGGGTCTTCGGCGTGACGAGTAAACTCTTTAACCACTAGGCTACCCCCGATCCCTGTTCTAAACGAGAACCTTTTCCTAATCCACAGTAATCGTCCCTGTTGCAGGTGTTCACCAACGTAGAACCCCTTCGACATCTACGACATCGAACATCGTTCAACGTCAACGTTATGATGTTGTCGAATGTTCACCTGTTGATGGCGCTGAAAACAGTCACCTGTATGCGGCAAACAGTTTAGGATACCACACACTTAACTTCAAACGTTTCAACCGGGTGACTGAGGTCGACCCTACAGATGCCAATACCACCAGGAACAGATTAGTACCACTGGACCAAGACTATGAACCTGTCACTCTCATGGACCATAGACTTGTCCTGAACTGTACTCAACAATACTCAGATCATGAAGAAGAGAATAATGATTCTATATCTTTGTGTAGCTCGTATGATAATGGTCAGCGTGAGAAAGATCGTTCTGGATATGCACAGTGCATAGTTGTCGCTGGTAACGTACCGACGATGTCTGTTGAATGAGCCATCCAGAAAATATGGTTTAAACATGGTTTTTATTTAGCCAAGGCTGAACTCTTGATAGGCGAACAACCCTAGTGACTTATATACACACCGCTCCAGTATGCCAAAGCGAGCTGAATTCGACGTTCTGGTGATTTCGACGATTGCATTGCTCGCACTATATCGGGGGAGTACGTGCGCGACCGGAGTGTACAAGCAATTTCATCGGTAGGGCGGATGCCCAGTCGCTGTCGTGAGAAGTTTTATTGACAATGGAAAACCGGAAGTTAAGTTATATGAAAAGCGTGCAAACATGGATATTATTTACCCGAGATCGTTAATACCACTTCGAATGCAAAATCAGTTGCCTATATAACAAAAAATAGTAAGCGAAAATTCAGTAAGATCGGTCGTGACAATAATGACAGGCATTATATAAATAGGAAGCCACGTGATCACAACACTCAATCGCAGTGCGGAGCAAGAACGTATGGCTCATCGTTGAAAACTCATACAAATAAAGCGGCAACAATTTGGCCGATACGATGTCATGAACGCTATTTTTGTAGGGAACACTTGAAGGGAACACTTGTGTGAAATAGATGAATATATCCTTTATCACTCAAAGTTAGTTAAATAAAACTATAAATGATATTAAGATAAAAATACGTTTTTGTTTGCATCGTCAAAAAACCCTGACACCGGAATACATTATTCCAATAGCTGCATACATAATTGAAATAATTAACAACATAAGAATAATACTAAGAAAAAATAACAGATATATGATTGAATAATGAATATGTTTGTACAAGAAAAAGAATTTCATAAGATCAACACCTTAACAGTTCAGTGGTCAATATCTGTCAGTGACTTTATCACGAAAAGATGCGAACTAGGCTTTTGTTTGCAAAATGTAAGCTACATCCTTTTTAAAGATTTTGAAATAAAACTTTGCAATATCTGCACCTCTTCTTCAATATGAACAGATACCAGGACTCATTTTATTCTGCGTGTTTAAAAGTGTGATTTTAGGCTAACATCAGTTACCAAATACGTACCATACGGGTTGCGTGAGTGAGTTCAAATTTAACGTCAATTTGGTGATATTTCCGTCATGTATTGCAAAACAATATCAGTTGATCGCCAAATCTTCCTCTCATCAAGTCGGTCAGATAAATTTGTAATGGAACAAAAGACAAATTTGCCGAGTTCAGGTTCTAAACTGTTATGTTCCTTTGAAACTGTAATGACCAGTGCAGTTTCACACTTTTAAAGATTAATTGTGACAGTTTGTGGGCTTCGCTTCCCCCACTTGTCGCTATGAATACAGATTAGCTGATCATTGTTTCATGCGTCGTGTGACCAAGCCATGTAGTGTGGATTTGAATAAGTCTGTACTTTTACATATATTATCTCACAGAGGCTGTACAATCATATTGCTTAACCGACACGGTTACCTGTTGTAATACATTCTTATGTTTGTAAAATCGTCTGGTATTGTACAGTATTCCCATCAAAGTTGTTTTGATTTTTGTAAAAACCACGGTATCAATTACACACACATATACACACGCACGCACACACACATATACATACATGTACACACATACATACATACATACATACATACATACATACATACATACATACATACATACATACATACATACATACATACATACATACATACATACATACATACATACATACATACATACATACATACATACATACATACATGCATCCATACATACATACATACATACTTGAATAAAATTATATCGGTTTGTGTCTGTAATATAGATACTGCCCAATGCTTTCCATATGTGTACTTCTTTCCACCGATTCATCTGCAATAAAATATTCCGAAGGCAAAATATTTGTTTTTCTAACTCAACACCTCAACAGGTATCAGTATTTCAATTCATATGATACACAAACACGTACACTCGCACTCATCCGCACCTATATCTAAACTCACTCACTCACACACATGCATACACTTGCATACATACTAGGCTATGATGTACTTTGAGTGGAGTCACGCTCATAACGCAATCCTGGATTAAGTTGGCCTTAACGACAAACGGTTTGCCTTCCTTGTTTCTGAATCGCAGTGAGATTGGATGATAATCACGATACATCATTCGTAATACCCATTAATGGACATGTAAGTTTTGATTTTGCGGCGCCATAATTACCGGAGTGATATACATATGCGTTATTCGTAGTCTATTGTACTTAGTATGATTTGCCATTTATCAAATATGTATTAACGTTAGTTATATCTTTGCTACAATCACAAACATTGGTAACACTGAAAATTAACCAATGAATTATGTTTTATCATAACTCGCCTCTCCATAACGAGGTTTGGCGTGTGTGAAACATAATTTGTCCTGCCTTGGCTGCCCCTCATGCACTGGTGATATTGTCTTTTCTAACCGGAAGAATTTCATATACCAGGAAACAAACCAGTGACTCATTCGTTTGAGGCGAATTAAATGTATATAATTGTTGCGTAGGGTTACGGTTAATAATTTGCCGTTACAAAAGGTTTAAGAATCCCCTTTGAACCAGCAAAATAGAACACAGACAAGTCTAAAATATTCAATAATATATTGAGCAAACAATGAGCAAGCTACAATCAGGGAGACTATATACGATTGCCCATCCGTTTCTTGTGACAGGTAATATTTAATATTCGAGAGTAGCCTCCCTTGGCAAGAATTGCGGAAGCTTGAAAATGTCAACAATAGTGGTTGTTGTGTCATGCGAAGTGAAGTCATACTTGTTTTGTCGACCAAGGAAACTATATCGACAGACAACACGAATGCAGCAGTGACATTTCTTACATAAACATGGCGGATTTCACACGTTCGTCGGATGACATGATGATAGGCGCCATAGAATATATCAAAGGCAGTCCCAGTCATGCATGGAATTAACCCATGGTCCCCTTTTTGTGAAATAAGAGTAAACTCCCATGGTATATGTATGATTTAAAACTTTCTCTATTATTGCAGAAGTGCATTTTGTATAGCTTTGGTGAAATAGACATGATATAACTCTTACCGCTCTTTCAGTGCAGCAAATCACTATATTCTTGTGCCATATAGATATGTTGGACAGGAAAAAGTATTGAAGCTTCATGCAGTTTTATATTTTTCTGAGAAGTTACATGTATATACAGTACATAAGTCACAGATTTGCCCAGGGCAAATGTTTCCAAATTTCCACATGTAGGGTTCGAGCACTTTTCAATAATTCATACTTTACATGATTTCCTGTGTTTATTTCACCATGGAAAAACATGTTAGCATTAATATAGAGGCAAATTTAAAGGTACTGGGAGTAAAGATAGGGCTGTTTTGAGTGGAATAGATTGTTTTAGTGTCCAGAATATGAACGTTGCTTCGTTTTGTTGTCGAACAGTGGGAAAAAGACCCTCAAGGTGAGTCTAACCATCAAGTAGTAGTTCCCTGGCTTCTAAATTTGTTGGAACTGATGAATTTGACAACAAATTAGGTTAAAATCACCACTGCCACAACGATGTGAGTGTCTAAAGTTAATCTCCTGAGGGTCAATTTGAAGTCAAATGATAAGAATATCATGAAATATGTTCACTGCTGACAGCAGAACATGTCACAAACCCTTGTTTTAAATGCAAACAGTGTAGCATATGATCAATTCTTTCTGCCTGTCCCCTTTTTGAATATGCAACGACCTAATTTTCTTTTCCTTTTTTTAAAAATATACCCCTTTTTCACCCATAGGACTGTCAAAATGAATTTCTGTTTTATTAACAACTGTCTCATTGCTATTTATAGATTTTATGATTTGACATTTAATGTAATCTCAACACTATTTTCAGCAGCTTGTAGAATGCCTGTTGGTGAATGGGGAGGTGTATCTTCACAAATACAGCAGAAAAGAAGCCTTCACATCCAATGTGGTATTTCGACAAGCTGGGCGAAGCCTGTTGTTGGCAGTGTCTAATCAAGCATACTCCCTTTGCTTCGATATGCTTCACCGCCTTGTAGAAGTTGCAGTACTTGGACATGTAGGTACATATAGTTCATTTAAGTGACCTAGTCCAGTTAAGGCACCACAATGCCTCACTAAAAATTCCATCAGTCGGTCATCCCTCATACATTAGAAATTTCTGACAGTGTCCCCTTAATGCCTCAGTGTGTAGTATTTCAGCTTCCCAGACATGAAATAAGGGCTGTACATCAATCCCAGAAGCTGCTTAGATGTAAATAATAACAACTAACCCTTGTGGAATGTTATATTATGGGTCTGAATTCACATTTTATTGACATGAGGAGTGTTCGATATCTTGAAATTATCTCCTGTTTACCCAAATACATTTGTGTCTTTCTCTAACCCAGTAACCAATAAATTACTGCAGAGAAGCTCTGTTTTTAGCTGATATTGCCAAATACTGTTAATTTTAATTAAAAATATTCAGTTTAGGGCAGGGTAACCAATAAATTTCCAAAGTTATGTGGATTTTTTCACTTTGTTCCCTCTAACCAGGCTTATACTTAAAATTGGCAAGTGTAACAGCAACAAAACAATACACAGTCAATAGTTTTGTATTTCTGGAAGTATTTCAAAGTCTTAGCTTGATGAATCAATAGATTCAAGTGTAAGTTCTTATCATGCTGTGGTCTAAAAGTGATTTCATCTGTTGAAGGGGTCATTTGCCTTTATCGACTAACAAGTGACAGGGTACTGTGGTCAGTGTTTCAGACTGCTAGGCATAATCCAACCCCTCACTTATTACATTCTGGCAAAGTTCATCATCCAGCCTTACAGGATGTTAAAGCTGCTTAATGTTAAACCTGTCCAATTTCTGGCCTGAATTCCATGATTTTTTGTCGATTTCAAAAAATAAAGTTTGGATTGATATGATCAAGGCAGTCCCAGTCATGCATGGAATTAACCCATGGCCCCTTTTTGTGAAATAAGAGTAAACTCCCATGGTATGTGTATGATTTAAAACTTTCTCTATTAATGCAGAAGTGCATTTTGTATAGCTTTGGTGAAATAGACATGATATAACTCTTACAGCTCTGTCAGTGCAGCAAATCACTATATTCTTGTGCCATATAGATATGTTGGACAGGAAAAAGTATTGAAGCTTCATGCAGTTTTAAATTTTTCTGAGAAGTTACATATGCAGTACATAAGTCACAGATCTGCCTAGGGCAAATGTTTCCAAATTTCCCTACAGGTTATACTACACTAAATGAGAATCGCTTGCTCACTGAGCGAGAAGCGTATGTAAACAAATGAAGAGATAGAGACATGTGACAGCTGTGATTGGATGAAATAGTGTAAGATGTTTATGTTTTTTAAAAGCATATCCAACCAGCAATTAAAACTGACCACAATTTGAAGTATTCAGTGCTGTGATTTTCATCACCATGACTTATGCTTATTGTGTGTACAGATATTTTCCAGTAGGTGACATTTTGGTGCGGATCTGGGTGGATGTGTTCCGCTTCC